TTCTAGCCATTGGAAAATGTGCATTATGTGCATATAAGAAAGGCTACAAGGTCATTAGTAAGGCTGATGATTACTACATTATGAAGTAAATAGTACTAAGTAAAAAAAGATAAATCAGAACTGTGCAAAGACAGTACTAACAGAACCATTTAAACACCCATGCAAATAAAAATGTGATAGAAGTCAAATCATAGTCAGCTTGTTAGAATTAATCATGTTTCAAATGTTCTTTTTGTCTTCAACTGAAAGCAACAGGACAGACCATGAACAATACAGCCTGGTGAGTATCTGTCAAATAACAGTAACAGTGAAAACATACAAAATGTTATCAAATTGGAATAGATGACCTCATGTCTGAAAAACATTAAAAAAATACAACCCTTAGTATGAAAGTAGAGGTGAGATTTTTCATCATTTAAGTTTCATTTTTTGTCAAAGCACTTACAAAGAAAATAATTTTATACTCATGAAATGCTAGTGTTGCATATTCTTGTAGAGATGATCTATTTCAATTTTATATTAATGGATATTTAAATTATTACTCTTTTTACAAAGTAGAATAGGGCAGTCTTTTGATCAACATTCCATTTGCTTCTTAAAAATTTAGACAAAGTTCCTAGTGCAGTTTGTTAAGCTTTACCTTTGGTGTTAAGCAGTGACTTACTAGATTTCCCTTTTAAACAATTTCTGTAGTGAAGACTCTTTGGCTTTGGGGGACTATGCTATCTAATGACAGTCAAACATCCTTTTTTTTCTTTTTAAAGAAAAATATAAGTCTACTATTAGATACCATAAGAGATACAGATTTCAGAAACAGACAGACGCAATATGCGGGCTTTCTGTAATGAAATCACCAACAGTTGAATTCTCACTTACCCTGGATTCCTTCACCTCTCCACTCACTGGAGCAACATAAAGGTGCCTTACTGTAAGTGAAAACCAGGCCCTATTTGCTTATGCTAATCTGAGTACCGAGTGCCAAGCCACTATTTTCTGTTGCCTGAATATTTTAACCATACAAAATAATCGATTGTGCTAGCAGTAACATTGTCGCAATGGCTATTTTACACCACAGTACTTTCTGTACTTTTTTTATATCTGGAATCCAAATCTGTTTATGCAAAAGGGTGTTTAAATTACTCTGCTAGAGCACTGCAATTATTGTACTTAGTAAAAAAAAGTCACTAAACAATTACTGTATCTATCAACTGCTCATTTACAGCTTATTTAATTATTTACATAATTTTAGGACACATTAACCTAAACCATAAGTAGAATTAGCTTTTTGCCTTACCATAAAGTACAAATTAGAAGTTAAAAATGTTTAAGAAATCTGATAATATTTACACACGTTCAGCTTAAGTTATGGTTGCTCACATTGTATGTTCTATGTACACATAGCAAAATGTTATGATCACTACTGATATAGTATTGTACCCTGGCCATCCCACCCTAGAATATTTTCTAGAAATAGTTAATATTTTTGCCTTTTTTTCTTGGTTCCCTAAAGAATTTGTTGATTTTGAAAACTTACTAGTGGACAATGCTGTTATAAAAAGAGAGAGAAGAAATAGGCAAGCAATGTGAGGACTAGTCTAATTTCAGATGCTAGGAGGTACAGTACTATCATCATGTCAAACGGTGCAATGCTCCATATGAATTATAAGCATTGAACTGCAGATATAGAAATGCCCAGTTACCCTGTATAGTAAGTTGTTTTTTTTTAAATACATTAATCTTTTTTTCTCAAAAATATATTCATACACTGGTTGATGGTAGAAACAAAACTATTATTAGCTTATTCCTTTAACACGCCAACATATGAATGTGTGTGCATATATATACCCAGTATGTGTATATATACACACATATGTCCATATAGACATTCAGATATATGTCCATATGCACATATAGTTGGATAATGTTTGACATCCATTGACTCATGATTAGTACTGTGTTACAGTATAGAATTGGAACACAGTCTAATAATTATAGTGAAAATTAATTGAGGTTTAATTTTAATGCATATTTGTCTGAAATAAATAGGATTTTTTTCCCCAAGTGTAAGACCATCATTCATTTTCTCTATGCATTGTGCTTTTGTACCTTACAGATTTTATGTCCTTTTTATTAAATTGTAGAAAGCCTCTGAAGAACTCTGTGACATGCTGTTATCTAACACTCTGTTCTCCTCCCCTGGGAATGAGAAAAGAAATGGTCACAATGTCATTGCTTGAGTCTTTCTTCCCAGTCATCAAACTGCGATAGGATAGAAACATAACATTCCTTATGCAAACACAGAAATATGTTGCATGAATTTTCAGTTCTGAAAATGTGTATCATACATACTAGCAGTCATGTACAGTATATATTTACAGATTGATCTCAAAGATTTCATTAAAACTGTGCCATGTTATAGTCATAATTTGCCCATGAATTTCACAAAGATGAAAAACACCTTAATTGCTGGCTATTATGTCCAATAGAACAATAAAATGTGCAACTATATCTTACAAGATTTTTCTAAATTATTAACTTTGCTATTTTGCCTATTGAAACTAACAACAATTAACACGGTTAAAAAGATCTAGAATATTTATTTTCGGTCAATTCTAAAGTAAAAGCAAATTTGTTCTAGCTTACCTGGAGGGTAGCACACATAGAAAACCCCATATCACATGTATGTTGGCATAATTTCTCACTTTCACTCAAAGTATCTCAGAAAAGGAGTAAGTGTTCACCTTGGGCTTGAGTTATACTTTCCCCTTGACAGTGCCTCGCCAGTCTTTTGCACCCCCATCTTTTTATATCACAGTGTTAAGCCTTAGTACAAAATGATAGAATCCTTCTCTTTCACTAATTTTATACATCACATTAATAGCCAGGACATAGTAAAAGTGAAAGTGCTCCTTCCCCCCAGATAATATATCTTTCCTAGTCACACCTGAGCAGAAACCAGACATTTTCTTTTACTCTCAGAATAGTGACATCAGAGAGTATTATGGCTTGTACTGTAACTTCAGATAAATTAATGTGCAGTTCTAGGATTCAGTCTCTGTGGTTTTCATAATAGCTGATGCAGTAAACCAATGCAGAGAGTCAACATATTCTCTGTAAGGTTTTATATTTGATGTGTATCAACCACAAACAGGCTGTGAGCTCCCTGTATTCACACTATACTTCTGTGAAACAAAAAAGGAGTTGGCAGCAATTTGTGAAATGAAACAAAAGCTTGTACAAAGAATACTATAAGGCTGCTTTTATTTATGATAATTGATACCATTTTTGAAGAACAGACTTGGAAGAGAAATACTGAATTTTGATGTGGCTCCTTTTCTTAGAATTGGGAAAAAATTCCATCATGATTCATACCTACCAGCTGAAATTCCAAATGCATCTACAAAGCTTATTGTGTTAGGCCTGAAATGCAGTCAGAAATTAAGTATGTGAACAAAAAGCAACCTTTTGACTTGGAAAGTTATGAAAAGCATGATGAAATCCTGTCTCTATGTTTTGCAGAGCCTGAACCTGGAGGCAGCATGTGAACATACACACAACTCCCTTGAAAGCAACAGGTGGTGTGTGTGCCTGGCAAATCCTAGTTCAGGCTCAAAACTATTCTCTCCCATTTGAAGAAGAAATAAGCAGATAATATGCTCAAAACAAAGTCAGAAAATTGGGCTGTTAGTTCCCAGAACTGTTTTCCTCTTATCGCTGTCATTCACTGTCAAATGGGGGAAAAAAAACACAAAAACTTGTAAGAAAATCACTCTTTTAAAGCAACAACAAAAAATTCAGAGAAAATATTTTACAAAAAATATTCTTAAGAACTATCTTAAAGTATTGCTAAAAGAATACTTAAATGGGGAAAAAACATCTGCCTGAAAAAATTCCTTTACTATTTGAAAGATACTTGAATTCCAGTTTATTTCAGAAATTTGTACAGAGATGAGAGGTAGCATAGATACAACAGATGTGGTTTTTGCTTCATGAAATATTTTGTGTCAAACGATATTGGGGATCTGATTTAGTAAAAGCCATCAGGAATTTATACTCCTTATACAGTTCTTGTGATTTTTTTTTTTCATTACAGAAAAAGGTTCCACAATGGACTTAAAGGTGAACTCTATTTTGCCTATAAAATTCTATTTTTTGTCTATTCTATTTTGACTACAAGAGTAAACCTCCATGGAATTAAAAAACCCTCCTTTTATTTCAAAAAGTTTCCTAAAGCAAAACTGAAATTTGCTAGTTTTTCAATGGAAATCACCCTAAAGCAGGAAACATTCAAGAGTGTAAATAAACTCTTAAAGTGATGGCTACCAATTTTTTTTTGCTTTAAAACAGTGCGTTAAGGAAAACAAAATAAAAAGTGAAATGGCATTGCCTAACCCAGGCTGAGAAAATACCCTGTCAGTATTTTTTGTACTGAAATACATATGCTCTGATCTTTACTGTTGGAAGAGGTATGATACCATTAATCAAACTGGATGTAAGTGTTAAGCATTACAACAGTAGCAAGCATAACACTGGAAAGATTGCAAACTTGGAAGAAATCACACAACTTCACATGAGTATTTCAGACTAAGGTATGTACTATAACTGACAACATTCATTTGCACAGTGTATATATATATGTGTCTATATATATATACACGCACACTTTTACATATATGTAGCCTTCCCTCTCCTTGGCCTTGTATTTTATAATTGCTTTCTAGCTATCCCTACCCTAGAAAGGCAGGGCACCATTGGTTTCCTTCAACCACTTAGATAATTACTATTTGGCCAACCAGTTTTGGCACTTTGGACAGATGATTTCCTTTCCCCAAGAGAAAACAGCAGCATATCTAGCCATTCAGAGTGGATGCATTTTTATACCATTGCTACATTACTCTACTGACCACAACTATAGTCATTGTGACTGCAAGCATATGTTCTCTCTCTAAAACCCAAACAAAACTAGTGCTTTTTGCTTCAGCTCCTGTGCAAACACCCAACCCTAATATTATCAGTCAAAGGTTTACTTCTTTCAATAAATAATAGGAAATACCTGAAAATGGTTGGGAAACCTCTGACCGTCATCATCCTGGAAAGATGATAGGCACTACTTGTTTTCAAGTTTACACATTTAAAAGATAGAGTGTGTATGTTTCATAAGCGTGTAACAACTTAGTGCACTCTCTTAAGTGTAGATGCATGTCTTGGATATGCAGTTTCCCTGGGAATGGTATGTACTGCTGTTGAAAGTAGAACTTGTTACTCAAATGCCCCTCTATGATTTGTATCATGAAACTCAAATGGTCATATAAAAAAAAAAAAAAAAAAAAAAAAGAGAATGAGGGACAATGAGACACAAGTGATTGTCAAAATCCAATTTGCCTTCACACTCAAAATGCACTTATATTTTGGTAAGGGGATATGTCCATACTGCAACTTAATATATGTATGATTTAGCAGATACAACCAAAACATTATAAAAATAGACCATAGAGTGGGCCAGCAACTAAGGTGTTTTAAAATAACTTTTTGTCCTGAATAGAATTTTTCTAAGTCCCACTTTTGGCTGTACAACTGATTTGAAGAGAAATCCAGTTCTTGCTCCCTGTGTGGCTTTGTTTCTTAGTTCACATAGTAAAGCCAATAAACAATATTGAAGAAGGAAAAAACAACAGGGAAGAAAATGCGTGACCATCGATCTATGGCATTTACATCAGTCAAGTCAGGAATGGTAATTTTCAGTTGAGATGCACGTCTCCGTAGCCTACTTTTCTTCTGTGCCACATGTCGCTCCAGGGCATTGCGACCAAAGCTGTGCCTGGGTAAGCCAGCTTTCCGGTACTGGATGCTTGAAGTGTCATACGCCAGCATAGTGCTTCTAGGGTCCCCAAGCCCCATCACAGCCTCGGAGGCAGCCATCTCATTTTTAATTTCAAGTGTGCTCAACAAAATATTTTCGTGTGGATCCATCTGTAAAAAATAAGAAAGCAGATTTAACAGGAGAGAAAGGAAGCCCAATCAGTTGCAAACTGAAGCCAAGCTGACAAGGGCTAGAACTAGCATTACTAATTCATTGGATGTCAGCCTGTCTACAAGACTTTAAGCATAGCCGTGACGATATTTATTGTCATTTATTTGTGAACTCAAGGAGCAATAAGGCCAGTGTAGTATAATGGAATAAATGGTATTTCCCTAGACCCCATGTTCAGTGAGCAGAAGCAATTCCTGGAAATGGAGTACATGCTCAGCTCCTGAAAGTGGAATTCTGCCACTGGGTAGGACATCAGGGGCAAATACTGAACTTTTTGGGGGTGTTGAAGGGAAATCAAATGGAAAAGGGTCTGCTTTATTTTGAGTTTTCTTCTTTCAAATGAAAGCTTCTGCTCTGACAAAAACTCCAGATATTCACAAGGTCTCTCTGCCTCTATAAAACAAGACCCAGAGCACTGCACAAGAGAATGCAGATTTTCAGACCCTGTATTCCAAACAGGACTCCTGGTTACTTGGGGAAAGGCACTGACACAGTCTAACTATGCCTTTCTGGAAACTCCATTTCCCTGTGCTAATGAATTTTATAAATACAGTTCATGCTGTGGAGACCTGAAAGTGGAATAGCAAAGATGTCCAATTTCAAGCAAGGGAAAACATACACAGAGTGTAATCACATCAAATGTACATTGAACAGTTGTTTCAACGGGTAGTTTTAGCTACTGTGTATTTTTTTAAAGGCAATTCAGTAAAAAAAATATTAATGAAATGTTGTAAAGAAACCCCTTAGACAATCAAGAGGATTTCAAAGATGAGGAACTAAACTCTTAGGCAATCTGGAGTAGATCTGAAGTACGGTAGGAGAACTTCAAAATAATGCATTTATAGACAATAAATATAAGATTATTTAGGAACTTCTAATTCTCCTCAGTCTCCCCTCTAAGCAGAAATTTTGAATTGTGTGATTACAAAGTATAATTAAAGAAAAATACTTTAAAAGCAATAATAGTTAATGAGCAGCTAATTAAGTACACTGACTTAGTTACGGTAGTGCAGATATACTCCAGGCCAAACAAGAGATGAAACTATCCCAGGGCTCCTTTAAGAATAACTGAGCCACATTATTCATTTATCATGTACATAATAGATACTATGATTATTATTGAAAGTGCACAAACTGTGAATTTTGTGGATTTCTAAACAATAATACGGCATTAGTCTATTCTGTAATATTTGGAAGCTAGCAGTCAGCAGCAGGTACCTTGCTGCACTACCCAATATAGCACTGGTTTTGCCATTAATAAAAAAGACCTATGTAATATTTTACATGGCACGGTGGGAGAACTGGGTTGAAAATAGTTGTTTTTTAGTAACATTCACTGCACAGTATTATGAACTGTGAAGTTGGATACTCACAAAAGTACTTTGGACCTACTGAAACACTGCCATTTGAGTGATTACATCTGTTCAAGTGATGCATAAAAACTGGCATCGCTGAGATGCCAGATTTCCCTTTTTTTTTCCTTCAATCTATGTGAGTTTGCACCCCTCTAGTTTCATTATATTTTAGTTTAAGATTAAATGTAATGACTCAATGTGAAGCAGCCAAAATAATCTCTTTTTTGCTTGCTTTTCATCAAAACCATATCAAATCTTTGAATTTTCTAGTGTGTTAGGAAAATTAATCTTTTTTGAGAAGCACTGGAAAAATGGGAAAGTTGCGCTGGAATCCAAGAAAAATTCCTTTCATAACTGTAGCTTGATACTGAGCATGGTGAGGAAACACTGTGTTCTAGCCAGGAAGGCCATCAAATCAGTTCTCATCAGTTTTCATCTGCATTAGACAAAACTAAGGCAAAAGGAGTATTCTGCTATTGTAATACAAACAAAAGCAAACACATGAAAAAGCTTTCAAATAGATCTATGAAACTTCTCAAGAGAGTTTTCAAACATTTTCTTATAATGAGTGCAGTTATTTAGAAAATTCTTATGTGATTTTTGGAGTAAGACAAAATTGGCTGTAATTTGTATTATAAGATCTCAGATAAATAATAAGATTTTCAGTATCCTGAAAATAAAAGCAATTATAGGCACTTGGCATTCACTGATCCCAAGAATGTCTAAAAACACATAGGGGAAGTATCTTACAAGAGGGGTGCAAAGCCATTTGGAAACTACATTTTCGATAGTTTCATATAACCTTAAGAAAAGAATAGAAATTTTAGTTCCAATGACATCAGGGGAAGTTTGACATAACATCCACTAATGCTATGGTTTTCCCCTTAACCCAGAGCCTGGGTTATTTTCACCTCAACGTTGTACATTCTAAGATGTTATCTTTGGAGAGATTTTTGGGCCAACAAATTTATTCACATCTTAAATCTTCTTAGGGTGAATCTACTTTAAGCATTTTATCTTTCAATCTGCAATGATATTACAAATCTGAGTGCTCTTTACACACTCACATAATTTCTATGCAACACAAATGCAAGAAAAGTTATTTTAGTCTTCTAGAGTTAGATACAGACGTGTTTTAGTGATATGATATCACTCCTTCAGTTAACTTTTTGCTTTGATTATTTTGTCACTTCTGTTCTCATTTCAGTAAATTTCTTAACGCAGCAAACTGCTGCAGATATCTGACAATCTTGGCAGTAGTTAGTAAGATTAGTGATGCCGGGCAGAAAAAACATTTAGCAATATTTTAAACTATCTTCTAGGGCAAAGTGTTTTCTTCTGCACATATCACACTGATATCAGAGTTGGAGTACAGCATTTTTCAATATTCCAAGAATTTTTCAGAAGAAATAACGCAAAATACAGTAAAAATTAGTGATGGGCGAACCTTCAAGTGTTAGAATAGCCAGGTAAGCACCACAAAGTTCAGGTGCTTCTCGAGTCCTAATTTGACCCTCCTGCACCTGGAACAGTGGATTAACCATAACAAGAACTGCATTTTTCATGGTATTTTGAATTCCCAATCTGAAGAACTCCCAAAGTTCCAATCCAAAAGTACAAATGAATGTGAAAATAAAAGAAAGAAAGAAAGAAACAACAACTCAGAAAGAAATTAACCTAACTTTTCAGCCTTTGACAAAAGGTTTCTTGTCAGATTAGAGAGAGCTGGGAGTGTTATTTCCACCAAGTAGGTTCGCCCAACTCTAAATAAAACATGCTTTTGTAACTAAGTGAAGCCTCAGATAGAATGATAATGAATTACGTTTATTGTACACAGCACCGCCGATTCAAAAGGATCCCAAAGCGCTTTACAAGCATTAGAAAGAAGAACCACTTCACTTCCCAGTGAAGCGCAATCACCTCTGAGGCGAAATGTGGTGACTGACAGTGCAGAACAATCCACTACATTTTAGTCAAGGAAATGGAGAATGCTGTAGCCAATTGAAACTATGGGGTGGGTGAGTGGTGGTGGGGAATGTTAAGTAAGCAGAACAGTTACATAAATTGATATTTGGCCAGATGCTTGGGGTTGAGATGACCACGCTATAAAAAAGTGCCATGGGATCTTTAATGACCGTAAGTGGTCAGGACCTGAATTTTAAGTCTCTGAGGATAAAAAGGTTAGAAAACAATGAAAGATACCTTTGTTGAATACATTTCTGGACAATGATATGTGCCAATTATTCTTCTGTCCTGTAAGTTAATAAAATCAAGACCAGTTTCCTTAGAGATAAGGCAGCTATTATCTTTCATTTAAAATTAAAGCACTCTAGGGTAATAATAGGACAACTAATTAAAAGATATAGGGACCTCTAAGCCAACAATTAGCAGAAGTATATTCTGGCTTCAGAGGTGCCATTACTGCCTTGCTCTGCTCCTGAAGGTAACATAACATTGTGATGTAAATGTTTTTTTTTCCAACTGGTCACTTGACCAAGGAAGGTATGATGACATGAAAACAACTCTTAAAATTATTCTGGGGGAAAAGTAAGTGTAAAAGTGGTTTCAAAAGGAGGTGGAAGAAGGTTAAAAAGATCTCTTGGTGCTGAAGGATTGTTCAACCATAGAACTGGACTCTTTATGGTGAACAGGAGAGTTCAAACTTAATGGAGAAATTCCCAGAGACAAGAAAGGAAGGGAGGATGAAGATGAAGAAAAAGCAGCAGAAAGTACCATGGAAATAAAAGATCAAAGCAGAAGTGGTGAAGAAATGACCAGAGCTCAGCAAACATGCAAGACGGTAGGTTTTTTATAAATCAATCTTAAAGGTGGATGACAAAATATGTGATGCAAATGATATTCACTTGTAGGTCCAGGTCAACTGGAAGCAAAGCTGACTCTGGAGCCTTGAAAGAGGCCATGACCTTTTTGATGGCCTCAAACAAAGGAAATACAGAGGAAAGTGTAGAAATGTTACCATTATATATTCTCCCTGCTCCTAGAAACTCCAAAATGATGGCTTTTTGAGGAATTCCTCTTACACTAATACATTAGCAACTGTAAAATACAAGGAAATTACAACTCCCACACGCATACATGCACAGATATGTACATTAGGACTCCTCCAAAGATGATCAGATCTCTGAAACTACTAACATCGAGTTAACCAGCATGTTGGTGATTATGCTCTACTGTTACGCCAAACACAGCTTTATAGTAGGAAGGAAATTTATATTGATGAATTGAAAAGATATAATATTGACACTTGTCCTTCCTCATATACTGTTCATTTTCACCTATAACCTTCCATTACAGGCAGGTACTGATGGCTCATTTTATGGCAGAATGACTCAGAAGCCACGGATAAAATAGACAGTAGGGTTGGAATTTCTGATGGAAAAACCTTGTGAAACAAAACCAGTTGTAAATTCAAAAGAAATATCCTTTTGTTAAGTAGGGCTGCCATTAGCCAAAAGCAAAATATGGTGAGCTAAATCACAAAGGGAGAACAGAATTACCCAGTCTATTACAAAGAGTAACACCTGAGATTAGGTCTCAGCATTTATAGATCCTGTGAACTGACATTCTTAAGAACTGAAGACAGAAATAAAGATGCCTTTTGCTATGAAGACCGACATGACAGGCCTGGACATTTAATTTAATTTGTTACAGATAAAGACCTTAGTACTATCTATAGCATAGTTTCCCACCTCTTGACAGCTGAGCTTTGCTTGGAAAACCAGTAACACTCCATTCCTGACTAGTTACAGTAGCTCTGGCAAGATAGTACGAAGTGCACTTTATATGTAATAGGGATCTTCCACCTCATCAGCAATGTTTGATTTATTGATTAGAAACCACTGATCTCTGGGGATTGCACTGACTACACAAAGTAATGTGTGGAAGGTAGATAGTTCTGTATAAGCTGCTGCTAGGTTCACTCTGGAAGAAAAAAGAATTAATGATTTTCAAATGGCACCTGCCTAAAGCTATATAGACATTTTTGACATGATAAACAAGTCTGCTGAGATAAAGTTATATGAACTCACAAAGCACAAATGTCTAATATTTCAAAACATCCATATGTGAAACATTGTCCTTAAGAATGTAACAAACACTGCATTTCCATTGTCTGCACAAAACTGACTTTATTGCCAGCATTGCAGTAACTGTTTATGAAACCACATTAGCATGCATTGGTTCGGATTGCGTTATACACCTAAGATCTGGGTCAGGTTGTAAAGCATGTAGTTAAAGGACATTAAAATTAGGTTGACTTATAATTTCAGGTTACTGTGTTTAGTTTCAGGTCAGAAAATCCAGAGAAACTCTGTAAATTAAATCAGAATTTTCTTTAGGTTCTTCAGCTTTTTAAAGCCTAAAAATCTATGCAAAAAACCAAGAGACCTGTAAGAATTAAAAAAAACATAAAGGGTGAGAAAATGTAAGATCTGGACACGGAGCTTTAACACTGCTCTAATTACTTGTAATTTGATTTCTAACCATCCAGTTTTACCCTCTGATGTATGTGATTTCTTGATCATTATCACTAGTAACACATCAATAACTTAGTTTTAAGTATTGTAGGATTCTGGAGAAACAGTTGAAAACATATGCTTTCTTTCAGCAACCATTACTTACACACAAGATTCTACACTTAAGACATTGCAGAGTAAGTGCCCACAAAACATGAAAGAGGCTAAAGTATCTTTGGCTTGATGACATTTGAATAAAAATCATGAAATACAAACTTGTTTAAACTGCTGCACAGAATTCAATGTTCTAAACCACAAGCCAACAAGTGAAATAGGCAAAATCAAGACTGCTATTTGAATTACGGCACAGAATAGGAAAAAATGGGGAAATAAACTACTGGTGTCCTGTCTTCAGCTTGAATCTTACACCAACTTCTTCTAAAATAGTGCAAAAACATCCCTGGGGTTTTTGGAGTAAAGGAGGATAAATCACCTTAGCCAACCAAGAAAGAAAAACAGAGAATACATTGTGATTCTATAGAAAAATATCTTCCTCCATTTCACCTTTGGCCGTGATAATTCAGTCCAATGCAACCTCTAGCAAAGTAGAAAGAACGAGTTATGTAAGTAACGCCTTGATGTTGTACATGTAATTTCCATTCTAGCACAGCAAATACAGTTGACCATAAACAGTAAACAGATATCTGATTCAGGACATGAGCTTGTAACTTTACTTAAGCAGATAACATTAATTTAATGGGTCTTAAATAAATATTAACTTTAGTCATGTTTTCAAGTGATTTCCTGTGAATGAGACTTTCACTTTCAATCCAAACTCATGAATAATGCATATACACATAAGCAGGAAACAATTATTTTTTTTTTAACCTGCAAGAACATATCACAATAGTGGAGCTAAATATTATTTAAGGGGAATTCTAATTGAGAAGTCTTCAAATATGAGTAAGTCTCATATTAATGATATTTAAAGTTAATTGCCCTCCCTTCTAGAAATTTCAGGTACAGATTTCTTTTCCTCCAGAAGATTGCTAAATCATCACTTAGCTCAAAACAATTCTTTGTAAGTGATTCTATCTTACAAATGAAACCCTTCCACGAAAGCAAAAACTTCTACGTTCAAGTGTCAAAAACTTCTCTAGGAGAAACATTGAAAAATTAAAAAAATAATCTATTTGAACTTCCTGAAAGCATTTATTTTTACAAGGTAAATTTTGTAAGTAGTAAAAGGGAAAAAAAAAATCAATCTTTGACTGAAAATAAACATAAAGCAAGCAATGTAAGCAGAACTGGAACTTTTGAAATTTCAGTTACAATTTTCAGTGACTTTTTTTTACTACTGAGACATTTAAGAGGAAGCAAAGGCAGGTGATTTGGAATAGAAGTCTTCTGGGGTACCAATTAACAACAGCTCTAAATCCTACTATTTTGCCAAGAAACAAAGTAATAGGCAGCCCAGATTCTTACTATTACTGTTCTGATGAAGTATTATTCATTTGTTAAAATACCATCCCATTTACGCATATACAACTAATTCTTTTGGAGATAACATAAATGAATAACATATCAGCAAGAACCTACATCCTAAAAGGTACTCTCTTCCCTCCGTGATAAATAACACCAAAATTTCATCAAACTTCCATTATGCCCATAAGCTAAGTCTTCTATTACATTGTCTTACAAAATACACTAACAGATATATCTAGCACCAAAAATCTACTATGTAAACACAGCAAAGGTGCTTACATAAGAAAGCCTCATGAAAGATGAAAAATGCATGGAACGTTTGATTATCATTGCAACTGGCAAAATTTCTAAGGTATGATTTGGATATAGTTATGGTTTTGATATATGAACTAGACAGTAAAAATAAGGCTGATAAAGTTGCTCCTCTAGAACGCACCTCTGTAAAATACATAGATGTTATTTTTCTTGCTTGAAGTCAAACACAACGTGCAAAGAATTGTACGGCGTACACTCATCACGAGAGTGGGTGGACTGTATGGCAGTCTGCCAGTGTTTCATCCGTCTGACCATGACACACTCACTTGTCAACAGGTTTAGGCTTGTGATTTTGGGGAAGATTAACAACATAATTCTTGAGCCCAACCCAAAGATTAACATGGCCAGAAGCAACACGAGGTCCCAGGAAAAATTTTGGGAGCAGTGACAAAGGCCAGATAAAACACCGGAGAGAAACTGCAATTAATTCAACAAAAAATTAAAAGAAAATTCCGGAGATTTTTCTATGGAAAATCACTGACAAGTTTTCATTATAAAGACAACAAAGATGAATTTCAAACTTTTGACAATGAATTTCCAAATTAAGAAAGATCTAGAAATGTACTTCTTATGATCATGTTCAGTGCTGATACAGAAGCCTGAAATACTTCCAGTTCCACGGCTATAGATGCTGTAAGGCTCAGAGGACTAGTCCTGACAATATTAAAATGAAAAGTATTCTGCTTTAAAATAATAAAAAAATCCAAATTTGTTGACTGAATTAGAATATTCCTGTATGATTTACTGATAGTCTGCTGTTTTGGGGAGAGTCTAACATTTTGTCATTTATTTTTAAATGAGTGGCAAGAATGAAGAAACTTTGTTGCCAAGACACAGTTAGTCATTTCAGATTTGTTTCTAAGTAAATTTCTGTGTATGCAAAATATATACCAATATTATGAATCATTGCAAATTTTGAGTTATACTTAAATTGTTTTTGTGTATGCATTAATTCTAGAGAAAATAAAAACTGGATTA